GATACCCCGGGAGGGAGTTACAGACTGGAATCTAATCGAGGGGTTCGCGGTGGTTTATATACAGAATAACAAAGTGGATAAATGAGAGATTTTCTATTTTGGTTGGAGTAGAAAGGCAACTTATTATCTAAATGGAGAGAAACTTCTGAGTGCTTTGCTGCAGAGGGATCAGGGTGATTTAATGCATGAATTGCAGTAAACTAGGCATCTGCTACAGCAGGTAATAAGGCAAATGGAATTTTGGTAGTTATTTTTAAAGGAATAGAGTATAAAAGTAGGGAAGTGTTGCTTCAACTGTGCAAAGCATTAGTGAGACTACATCTGGAGCATTGTGTACCATTTTGGCCCCCTGACTTGAGGAGGAATATAGTTGCATGGGAGGCAGTTCAGAGATTGAGCAATTTTGGCCTGTACTCTGGAGTTCAGAAGAATAAGCAGAGATCGAATTGAGGTACATACGATGCTAAAGGGAATTGACAAAGTAGACATAGGACAGATGTTTACTCATGGGAGGCACTCTAGAATGAGATATCATAGTTTTAGGATAAGGGGTGGCAGATTTAAAACAGAGATGAAGAAAAATTGCTTTTCTCAAAGGGTTGTGAATCTGTGGACTTCACTACCCCAAACTTATGTGGATGCTGGGACACTGAGTAAATTTAAGGAGGACATAAACAGACTTTTAATTAGTCATGGGTTGAAGGGTTATGGAGAACAGGCAGGAAAGTCGAGACTGAGGTGATATCAGCCATGATTATATCAAATGGCAGAGCAGGCTCAAGGGGCTGAATGGCCCTGTACCCATTAATCTGTCAATCTGAGAGTAACCTGTTTACTGTCTTTTAACCAATTCTCAATCCATGCCAGTATAATACTCAGACCCCACGTGCTCTAGCCACATCCACTGGTGCACTTCTATCAACGTTACAAGTAACATCTTTATAAACCTCAACAAGTTTATCAAACATAATTTCCCTTTTGTAAATCCATGTGGATGCTGCCCAATTTTACCATTCTTTTCTCAGTGTTGACTTTTCAAACACTAACACTTTACAAACACTCATTTATGGTTCCTTGGTTTCACAAGTTCCTTGCTTGCTTGGTATTTCTGGAAGCTTTTCTGTACCAACTTTTATGATGACACCACACAAAGTAATCATTTAATTTCTCTGCCGTTACCCTGTGCCCCTTTATCAATTATCCTTTCATCCAGCTATAATGGGCTCACATTCCTCCTGGTTAATATTTTTCTTTGCACATACCAAAACAAGCTTTTACAGTCTGTCTCTGCTGAGTTTACATCTCTTTTTCTTTATCAGTTTCTTGGTCTCCCTTTTCTGGTTCTCATTTGCTTCCAATCCTGTAGTTTATCATTTCTTTTGGCATCCTTATCAGCCACTTCCTTTAATCTAATACAATCTTAGACTTCTTTAGTTAGCCATGTTTGTCCTTTCATTATACAAGATAACATTCTATCAGCGTTTGTAATTTTATTTCTATTTGTTTATTATTTTAATGGCTTGTATACCTGGATCCAAAAGCTCTTTCAGCACCCACTTTTCCTTTCTTAGTAACAAAAGGACAATTGGATTTTTTTGGTGCAAAGTTGATAACTTCACACTTACTTAGAGTGAAAGCAGCCATTTTCACTCCCTCACTTCATCGGTCAATGTCTCTTTGTTATTTTATTGACTTTACTTCTCTATTCTCGCAGCAACTTCTTTGGCAGATCTGGATGTGCAACTTTTGATGCTGTTATTTAAGTCATGAATAAAGACAGTGCCTCACAGAGGCCACAGCATGGATACTCTCAGGGCTGAGAGTGCCTCCTGGGCTCTCTGGTTAGTTATAGAAGTCCCAATATGTCATTTTACACAGTGCCTGTGTGCTTCCCTCCACTTCACTTGACGAAGGAACAGCGCTCTGAAAGCTTGTGATTTCAAATAAACTTGTTTGTAACCTGGCATCATGTGACTCCTGACTTTGTTGACACCCATCCCTGCATTTTTTATGGCCCATCCATCTTTGGACTGTGGGAGGAAACCAGAGCACCCGGAGGAGACCCACGCAGACACGGGGAGAATGTGCAAACTCCACACAGACAGTCGCCCGAGGGTGGAATCGAACCCAGGTCCCTGACGCCGTGAGGCCTGTGCTAGTTTTTGATGGGGCAGTCAATCAGCTCCACACTGAGCTTTGCTGATAAATGGATACCTTTCTTGTCCCTTCACTTAGTTCATTCAGATTGAATAGGATGGAAATTCAGCTCTGTCCAGTGATCAGAACCACACCAGTCTGTACTGGGCTTGTGGCTGCCCAGCTTTGGATCTTACTCAACAAAACAAGAGCAAATAGCAAGTGTTCTGTTATTTCAGTTTTAACATGATGCATAAGGTATTGCAGTCACTCGAACGTGCTTGTTATACAATCCCACTGTGTCTGATTTCCAACTGCATTTTCCCAGCTCTGTTCCACATCCTGGAATTTTCCTTATCCAATAAAAACACAGAAAGCTCAGCCTTCAATTTTTCAACTCACTCCTGGAATCGTCAGTGCCTTCTATCCTGACCACACCCTGCATGCCCTGGTTTGAATGTTAACATTGTACCCCATGTTCCAGCTAGGTCTTCCTGATTAAATCCTTAAACATTGCAACCACCTTTATCAGCTCAACCTTTGACCTCCTAAACTTACAAAGGTAGTTTGTGTAATCTCTAAACATCACTTAACCCTTTCCAGTCCCTGTCTGTGTTCTGGGGACTAACAGTCCCCATTAGCAGCTACTGATTTCCCCAGGCTGACCTCTACCCATTCCCTTGTCTGTCCAACTCTAGTTCTTTCTGGGCTCTATCTCCACCCATTGTTCACTCTTCCCCCGCCTCCTAACCCCACCTTCAGCACACATACCAACCTTTTCCCAGCTACAGTCAGTTCTGAAGAAGGGTCACTGGACTTTAAACATTAACTCTGCTTTCTCTCCACAGATGCTGACAGACCCCCTGAAGAGTTTTTCCACAATTTCTGATTTCCAGCATCCACAGTACTTTAGGTGTTTTTTGTGACAGTGACACCGAATGCCAGCTGACTACAGTAAAAGGGGAAAAGGCTGGTGATGATGGATTGGTGTCCTGTCACTGTTGGCACCATGCAAGGCATTACGATACTTAATGAACAGACCAGCTCCACACCACGCCACTGAGAGCTGTTCTCCTCTTATCCAAATACACCCTGTGCTTTGGCATGGTGCCAGGAGGGAAATTTTGGTTTGGGGAGGACACAGACAGCTTCTGGAAGAATAACAATGACTTACCAAAGGAAAATGGCCCTCTTGGCTCGATGAGATTCTGACAGCACCCAGGAACAACACCGCAGTGAGAAACTTCATCCTGTCTTCAGGGCTAACGGGGAAACAGAGAAAGTTCATCTGAGCCTGGCCAGTGCTCACACTGCACAAAGTTCCAGACACTCCAAGCAGAATTCTAGTTATTAGTAACTGCGACCCATCTCTACACCTCGCACTCAGCAAATCAAACACTTAAAGACCTGAGCACAGAATCCAGCCTCACACCCACACCATCGGAGGGTCAGTGCTGAGGCAGTGCCGCATTGTCAGAGGGTCAGTGCTGTGTGATGCAAACTACGTGATTGTTATAGAAGTCAATATCCTTTATTTTGGCCATTTGGATTTTGAACTAGTGGCATGAGTGATCCCTGTGTGTTTGAACAGGTTCAATGATTAACTTATAGGTATTTCTGTAGCTCTGATGATTTCTTTTAAAATGTATTATGTGAGTGATCTGGAGAGTAACAGATTTTTGTTTCTACCGGGAGTATTCATAGAAGCAAACAAAGTTTTCTCCTTCATCCCAATACAACACTCCAAAAGCTTGTGATTTTAAATAAACCTGTTGAACTATAACCTGGTGTTGTGTGACTTTGACCTTGTCCACCCCAGTCCAACTCCACATCATGTAGTTGTGTGAAGACTCCAGAAAAAGGTAATCAGCTTCTCAAGCCTGGGAATTGAGGTCACTGTTAAATTAATTTATGTGGATTTCATAGAGAAGGGAATTCTCTCTTATGTGAGGATCACAAGGTGTTGCTGGGATTAATGGGATTGTATTTTACCATGTATTGTTAAATCTTTACACTTCTGTTGTATGTAAATAGTTCGGTTTATTCTGTTTCATCTTCATTTCTTTTGCATAACACACCTTTGTTTCATTGTTAACCCAAATCTACAGCATTGTGTTTGTTCTAGCAAAAGACCACCTTGTTAAAACCAAGAAAAATAAATGATCTATCAAGCTAGTTTCAGCCTGGGATCTGACTTGTGCAGCAATAAAATCAGTTGGGATCAGAATAACTGAGACATTGCTGCACAGACAGGGGCAGTGCTGAGTGAGTGGCCTCTCAGGTAGATTGAAAAGATTCTATGACTTTATTTGGAAGATGTGCAGGCAGCTCTCCTGCCTTTTCCTTGACCAACACTTAAAACAAATGAACTCATGATTATCATAATACTCTTTCTGGGATCTTGCCATGTGAAAATTGATATTAGGATTTCCTACATTACAGCAGTGACTTGTTATCATCCTCCAAAACTCCTCTTCAGTTCCCTGCATAGCCTCACCCTCCCTGTCTCTCCAGTGCCATTTACCATTTAGCCCAAACCCCACACTCAATCTCTCCTTCCCTGACACTCACCTCCTGTCCCATCCTCAGCACTCACTGGGAATCGTTCCCAAAATCCGTCAGGTTTGGATGGTAGGCCAAACAGTTTCACTTCCTTCAGAAGCCTGTGTCTGACATGTGAAAGTTCAGTCTGTAATGGCAGCTACAATACCCATAATTCTATACCTTCCAGAAACCACTCTCTATAGTACCTGGGTATCCACTTACAATACACGCCAAGGGCCAGTTATGTTACCTGGGTGCTGCAGCCTGACTGAAAGGCTCATTGGTATTTCCTGCAGATTAATTTGTAACTACAGGGTTTCCAAGATGACCCAGTAAAGTTGGACAATCCAAAAATCTTTACATAGCCCACCCTTCCTTCCAGATTCTCTTTAAAACCCAAAACATTAGCTACATTTTTGGTGACACTACTGATATGAGCTTAGTTCAAGGCATATCTTTCCATAGTACACATTAGTGAGGTGCACTGAGATATCACAGTGGGGTTAAAATTGAATCAGAGACAGTAGGAACTGCCGATGCTGGAGAATCTGAGATAACAAGGTGTAGAGCTGGATGAACACAGCAGGTCAAGCAGCATCAGAGGAGCAGGAAAGCTGACGTTTCAGGTCGGTACCCTTCTTCAGAATCCAGCATCGGCAGTTCTTACTATCTCTGAGTGAGGTGCACTGAGATGTGTCTCAGGTTTAAGTTGCTTTATGGAGATCGATTGTGTAATGTTGACATTACTGAGACTGTCTAGCTGGAACCATTTCTATTTTAACCTTAGATATTACAACAGCCCAGACTCAAATTCCCCAGCTGAAGGAGTCTGATGAAGAATTACCATGACTGTTATAATGTGCTGAACCTCAGCAGCTAAATGTGTCCTGGTGAGCCAGCTGCCCTGCCTTTTCACTGTCTCAGGCCCCAAGCTGTGCTCCAGGAGAGTGGACACTGACCCAGACATTGCACAACCTTCAGCTCTAAGGTCATGTTTACATAACTGAGCTGGAGCCAGACTAATCACTGCTCACTCACTGAGCCTCAGCCAGAGATAAGCAAGGGTCAGCAGATCTAGTTCAAGACAGCTCTGGTAAAGGGAGAGGGGGAGAGTCCTCATATAGATAAGGCTGCATAAGTTCCAATCCCACTCACAATCACCATCTCCAAACATCAGAGCATTGATTCCTCACTAACATCCACTGACAGAACTACATTTCTTTACCACAACTGTTACAAAAGGACAGCAATAATCAAAGGTGATTTTAATCAATACTTAAACAGAATAAATCAGATTGGAAATGGCAGTCTGAGGTAGGAGTTCATAAAATACTTTGAAGTCAGTTTTTTAGAGCAATACAGTTTGGAAACAGCCAGAGAGCAGACTATATTAGACTTGGTAAAGAGACAGGATACACAGGTGACCTCAGAATAAAGACACCTGAAAGGAACAGTGACCACAATATGATTGAATTTTACCTTCTGTTTGAAAGGAAGGACACTGGGTCAAAGACACACACATTGGGAGGAAAGGATGTTGCGAAGTGGATATAAGGATGAATAAAGTGGATTAGATTGGGTGAGTGAGTGTGGCAGGTGGAGTATCATGTGGAAAATGTGAAGTTGTTCCCATTTGGCAGAGAGAAAACAAAGCAGTGGGATAAGGAATGACTACAGAATTCCAGGGTGCAGATGGATACAGGTGTTGAGTCACAGAAGTTAGTTTGCAGGCACAGCAAGTAACTGAGAAGGTTAATGAAATATTATCCTTTATTACAAGAGGGATTGAACACAAAAGTAAGGATAAGACCATAAGATGTAGAAGCAGACATTACTAAGTAAAAATTTCTTTGTAAGAGAATCAAGGATTATGGGGAAAAGGCAGGAAAGTAGAGACAAGGATTATCAGATCAGCCATGATCTCATTCAATGGTGAAGGAAAGGGATGGGCTGAATGGCCTACTTCTGTTCCTACATTTTAGGTCTTATAGTAAGGGTGATTTGATTTAAGTGTATAAGAGTCTGAGTGGTCTTGGCAAGGTGGATGTGGGAAGGATGTTTCATTTTGTGGGTCAGTGCTGAGCTATAGGGGACAATGTTTTCAAATCAGGGATCAGCCTTTTAGGAGGGAGATGAGGGGAGTTTTTGTTTTCTCAGTGGGTAGGAACACACCGCCTCAGAGGGCGGTAAAGGTGGGGCATTGAATATTTTCTAAAGCTAAGGTAAAGAGATTCTTGTGAGGCAGGGAGCCAGGTGGGAGTGGGAGTGGGGGAGTGCAGAATTCAACCTAACAGGTATCAGAGAGTCCCTACAGTGTGGAAACAGGCCATTCAGCCCAACAGGTCCATACTACCCCTCCAAAGAGCATCCCACCCAGACCCATTCCCCTACCCCTACATTTCCCATGTCTAACCCACCCAACCTAAACATCCCCGGGCACTATGGGCAATTTAGCATGGCCAATCCACCCTAACCTGCACATCTTTGGACTGTGGGAGGAAACCGGAGCACCCAGGGGAAACCCACGCAGACACGGGGAGAATGTGCAAACTCCACACAGACAGTCACCTAAGGGTGGAATCAAACCCGGGTCCCTGGCGCTGTCTCAAAGTGCCAAATGGCATACTGCTGTATGATGTTCACACTGTTTTAGGTATGTCCCACCCTTCACCTTTCCAAACTCAAGGGAATATAAACCCAGTCTAATTCAAATAATCTTCATAATGTAACCCTTTCCACCCAGTATCAATCTGGTGAACAAAATAAAGAGCTGCAGAGACTGGAAATCTGAAACAAAAACAGAACTTGCTGGAGAGACTCGGCAGGCCTGGCAGCTTGTGTGGAGAGAACACAAACTTAATATTTCGAGTCCCGTGATCTCTGATGAAGATTCCCACAGCAGGACGTTTTTCTGGTTTTGTATCAATCTGGTGAAGTTGTGTTGTCATCCCCATAGTCGTAGTCTCCTTGCTAAACAGTAACCCAGAGTGAACCTGATCATACACACCCTCAGGCTGTAATATTCCAATGTCCTTACCCTCTGATACTGACCATTCGCCGTTTGGTCAGAGGCTACAGTTTGAATGAAATAACTGGGTTAATGATCAAACAGTGTTTGTAATGAAAATATAGTGTTTCAGCCTGAAAATCCATTGGAAAAGATTCAGGATTAAACAGAAACTAAACCCCAGTTAAAATTTAGATTTAAATCTTGGTTAATCTTAGAGTTTCTATTCTTTATGATTTTGAGAAATGGTATGTTATCTGACCCTTAAACATATCTCTATCGCCTGCAGTTAGCTAAAGTTCAAAAATTTCCGTAAACACATTCGTTGCGTGAAGCTCTTGGGGCCTATTTGATTTCCAGTTCGTGGTGTTAACTTCAGAAAGGTCAGAAACCACATGCCACCAGCCTCTCTGCTCCTATGATGCTGCTTGGCCTGCTGTGTTCATCCAGGCCTGCACCTTGTTGCCACCAGGTTATAGTCCAACAGGTTTATTTGAAGACACAAGCTTTTGGAGCCTTACTCCTTCAGGTGTTTGTGCGAGAGGTGGTATCAGACACAGAATTTATTAGTAAAAGATCACACCACTGATGAGGATGTATTAAACAAACCTAAGATGCTGTTAAATCTTTAATCAGTTAAAAGGTTTTAATTGATTAATATGTATACGTAAATCCCCGAATCCCGTTCAAGTCACTGACCTGAGAGAAGGAAAGTTTTCTCAGTGTAAAGATGAGGTGACATCTTGGGTCAGACAATGCGTGTTAGGTGTGAGACCTTGTTTAGAATCTGTTTGTGTTTTGGTTTGGAGTCAGACTGGTTTTATTTCTAAAGTAGGAATTTATAAAACGCCACATTGACTGACTGTCTATAAATTGTGTGCTTTTTGAACAAAATAGAATGTATCTGCAAATTCAAATTCACACCATAGATTTATACGTGTGTGTGTGTGTGTGAGAGTGTATGTGTGTGTGTGTGTGTGTGTATATGTATGTATGTGTGCGTGTCTGTGTGTGAGGGAGAG